AAAAAAAAAAAAAAAAAAAAAAAAAAAAAAAAAAAAAAAAGAAGATAGAAAAGAAAGAATCTTGATGATTGATCAGACAAGTACGACCTCACTAGCAAAAAGAATCAACCGCAACAATCCCTCAAGTTATAATTACTGCAACAATTAGAGTAACGAGTAAAGAAGCTGAAGCCTTCCTTGAAAATGAAGCAGTGGACTTAATTATCATTCTCTGATGAAGCAACTTACTTTGAGTACGCAGTGCATCACAGCCTCGTTCAACCTTTGATTTGTGTTGCGGGAGGAGAAAGTCACACAGATCCCAGAAGATAATCACTGATTGAAAGTCTTCAAAATCCTCGTCTCCAGGCAGAAGTCTTGACGATGCCTGCGTTGCAATTCTTTAGTGTAAATTCCATCAAACACCATGCTTATACACTGATGTGGACCACTTTCTGTACAGTGCTACAAACTTCAAGCAGAATCACATTCCGAGCGAGCTTACGACCCTGACGTTTCAGCCAGCACATGAACTTTGGAGTCACCCTTTTTCGTCTTCCTTTCACTTTGATCAAGTGATTTGTTTGCAGCCTGATCAGCCTTGGAGACAACTTTTGAGACTGTAAATCCAGCATCTTCAAAGAAGTTTGATCTGTCAGGAATGACAGAACTTCTTAGAACAACCTCGATGCCCTCATAAGTCCATATGCTTAAGACTGCCTCTCCTTTAAGACCAATGGCGAACCAACCCAGTCCAGCAGCAGCAGCATCCATACAACTTGAATCCCAACTACTCCCACAAACATGAAATTCCCTTCTCACCCATTTTCCAAGTTCTGCAACTCGATCTTTGCCTATAGGTGGCTGAGCAAAGCAAGAAACAATGAGGATGCTACTAAATGTAAGAGAGTCTATCAGATTATATTATCCAACAGAAAAAAGAAATTCCAAACGCAACTTTTCATAAATATAAAAGGTCAAGACTTTCCAATAAATATTATGCAAACACAATGACACCATAAATGTAACAAAATTACAAAAGAAAAAAACGCATAGAAGGCCAGTTGAATCATCAATTGATTATCCTAAAGGACCATAAGTAGTGATCAATATCCAGACGAAATAAATTATAAAAGCCATACGCAGTACGCACATTCCAAATTCAGAAGTCAAATGATGCACATATATATATATAAACTGGTCCTGGAATAGCACTCAAATTTCAGCAACATACTGCACAAATGGTTATCAAACTAACTATTGCAAATAATACCTGCAACTGATTGCCAAAATGGTCCTCCAGTATTTTGCTTGCATTTTCTGTTTTCCCCATGTGCAATGGAAGATAAGGAGATGCCCACACTGTAACATAAATTGTATCCACAGATGTTTCTTCCACATCTAGCCTCATGAGCCCCGCAACATGAATTGTATGACCAGCCTATGTAAAAGCGATACTAGGACTATGAAATCTCTACCACATTTTCTTGTTGAAAATAGTTGTACAGAAGATCAGATTGAAAGCAGAAACATGGTCCTCAAATTTCAACGTTATTACACAGAGTACTAAACAATTTTTAAGTTTAGCCAATCAGTTTAATGACCATGTAATTTTTGGTACAAGTATTTCATGTTAGTTGTATCATGTATCCTCTTAGTCAATAACATCGACTACTTGTCCCAAAACCTAATCATCTCTGAAAACTAAAACTCAAAGAACGAAGGTTCAATGGAAATGGAGCAGCACTTAAGTTTCAGGCATGAAAAACTATTTTTTCAGATTATTATGTCACTCTAGTGCCCGTCAAAAAGGAATCATATGAGCAACATTCTTGATATTCTTTCCCAGGGATTGAGGGGATTCTCTATTTTGAATTATTCTTTGAAATCCCTGCTATTTATAGGCAGCGTTTCTTTCGAAATTTCATGTCTCTTAATAAAAAATCAATTTCCTTACCTTTATCCTGTAAGTCCTCGGCTTCAATTCCTTGCTGATGTGAACAAGTTTCTGCTCTTCCCTTGTCAATCTCGTAGTAATTTGATGGGGATTGAGAAGGCCAGGCGTATCGAACAATTTGGCTTGACCCGGAAACATACCCTCCACTCTGATTATCCCCAAAGTTGTACCAGGAACTGGTGCTTCAGTCAATTGCGTGATCTTCCCACCAACGTGCTTTCCTATTGAATTAATCAGCGTGCTTTTCCCAGCATTTTGTGCTCCAACTGCCCACACATTTCCCCTCGGCCCAACCAAGTCAATTACATCCTCCACCAAACTTTTCAGCCCCCAATCTCTAACCGCGCTCACCATGTGCAGACTTGTTATCTTGTTGATACCACCCTCCCTCGCTCTCTGCCTCACCCAATGCTCAAACCTCGTTGGTGATACAGAGCTAGGCAGCAGATCTATTTTTGTCACCACCAGCACCACTCTAGGCACATTACCCGATTTCCCCTGTTTCCAGACAGTTGAATTGTCTTCAATAGTCGCCGAGACCAAGTTCGCGACCTTCTTTGGGAATGACCCATCAAAATCTGCAGCATCAACGACCAACAGCACAACAGACCGGGTTCCCGTCGTGGACACCAGTCTCCTACCGATAGTATGATCGAAATCAAAATCCGGCAGCAAATTCTCCAGTGCAGGATCCTTTACCTTCCCATAATGCCTCAATGAGTGACACCGCGAACACACAGTCGGCTTCTGGGCTTTCTCGTTCACATTCTCTTCACTTTTCTGATGTTCAGGCTCCATTACGAGGCCTCTTTTGAGGAGATCGGAGCATTCAGATTCATCGTCGACGGGCACAAGATGCGTAAGAAGGCGATAATTGGAATCTTTCCTTGAGGGCTTGACGAAGAAGCCTGGATGCTTGCGATTGGTGTCTTGCATGTGAACTCCACAGCCAGGGCAGACGAGGGAGAATCGGGAAGTGGCTTCGGAGTAGTTCCCATCACGGGTGAGAAGCGGAGATTCTGGAGGTGTGGGTTTGGAGGAGAAAGGCTGGGAGGAGGAAGAAGGCGAAAGAGGAAGTGGAGTAGCGGAAGGAAGTGGGCAAAGGATTCGTGGGTTTGAGCAGGAAGGTGAAGAAAATAACTGCGAGCGCTGCAAAGGGGAAACGAAACGCAGGGAGAGAATGGGTTTGAGCTTCAAAGCAGAAAGCTTTCGAGCAATCAGCATTTGTTCGGCTGGTTTTTTCTCACCTCTTTTCTTCACTCCACAGGGTTTAGGGTTTAAGCCGGTGAAGAGACCGATGGAAGACCAATGATACGACGTCGTAACTTCTCCTACCACCACTTTCATTTTCATTTTCCTTTAATTTATATTTATGTCACTCTCAAATCTTAATTTCGTAGTTCAATTCAGGTTCAATTACTTTTAAATTTGTGTTATTTTTCAAGATTGGGCCTCATGGCCCTAAGCTATATCGATGGGCCTTTTCAATATTGGGCCTCATGGGCTCTACGTTGTGAAGAATCTTTTGTTTCTGATGGGCCGTTTCAAGATAGGGCCTCAAGGGCCTATCTGTGAAGAATCTTTTTTTCTGATGGGCCTTTTCAAGATGGGGACTCGGGGGCTCTTAGCTGTTAAGATTTTTTTTTTGTTCGGATGGGCCTTTTCAAGATTGGGCCTCAGGCTCTCTAAGTCTAAGCTGGAAAGAATCTTTTGTTTTTTATGGGCCTTTTCAAGATTGGGCCTCAGGCGCTTTAAGCTCTAAAGAATCTTGTTTCTGATGTGCGTTTTCGAGATTGGGCAGCAGGGGTTCTAAGTTAAATAGTATCTTTTGTTTCAGATGGGGCTTTTCAAGATTGGGCCTCAGGCGCTCTAAGCTGTAAAGAATCTTTTGTTATTATGGGCCTTTTCAAGATTGGGCCTCAGGCGCTCTAAGATGTAAAGAATCTTTCATTTCTGATGGGCCTTTTCAAGATTGGGCCTCAGGGGCTCTTATGCTGTGAAGAATCTTTTGTTTTGGATGGGCCTTTACAAGTTGAGCCTCAGGGGCTCTAAGCTATATAGAATCTTTTCTCTCAAATGGGCCTTTCAAGATTGGGCCTCACGGGCTGTAAGCTATATAGAATCTTTTGTTTCAGATGGGCCTTTCAAGATTGGGCCTCATGGGCTCTAAGCTATATAGAATCTTTTGTTTCAAATGGGCCTTTTCAAGATTCGGCCTCAGGTTCTCTAAGCTGTAAAGAATCTTTTGTTTTTGATGGGCCATCTCAATATTGGGCTTCAGGCCCTGCTGTAAATAATCTTTTGTTCTGATAGGCCATGGGGCTTCAGGGGCTCTAGGCTCTAAAGAATCTTTTGTTTTCGGCAAGTATGTCGAAGAACAAAATAAATAAAAATAAAAATAATATAAATATAAGTATTCTATCGTAACCAAAAATATTTTTTTAAAATTAAATAAAATTTGAATGGGTTTAATTAAAGTAAGTTTTAAGTAACCATATGATTTGTTCTCGGTGGGTGGAAACTCCTCTTTAGCTTTAAAATTTTTGAGAGGAAGTCTAAAAGAAAATTAAAAAAAAACAACATCTACAAGCGAAGACACTAGGTGGTGTGCCAGCGAAGACGTTGGGCTCTGATGGGGTGAATTTTGAGATCCCATATCGATTGGAGAAGGGAACCAGTGCCAGCAAGGACGTTGTGTATCACGGTCCTACTTTTTCAACCGTGCAGCATCGTGATCTTAACACGCTCATGGCTAGTCTGAAGGGGAATCGCGCCCCGTATAAATTTTTCACCCCGATTTTGTGGCTTCATCAGACCTTAGGCGAGGTTTGTCTTCGCCAATTGAACATCGCTTGTGTGGAGTCCAAGCTTGTTCAACCACACACACCGCCTTGCGTGTGCATGTTCAATCGTCTGCGACACAACTCACTTACCTCTACACTAGGCCAAGTCATTCTACTCAACCTTGCCTCTACTCAGAGCCAACGTCTCTCAATACTACATCGCGTCTCATCCTGTCATCTTGATTCCCATCGACATGGCCCATATATCTTGACTACATCCCAAGTATCAGGGTGTCGTCGGCCATCACAACTCACTCGATCATGTCATCGACAACAGACCCATGTGTCACTCATCTCATTGGGACATCCCAAACATCCATCCATCCGGGTTCTTATCTAGGATTGGCTCTTCTATGCCCATGCCATGCCATTTACTATACCGTACCGAATAGTGGGTGTATATAGCAACTTCCGACACTCGGCTTGGCGTGCAATACCGGCACACCCGTACCGTCCGATATTGTCCTTGAAAAATCCATTTTGAAGGAAGTCGCCTAAGACACTCGTCTCGGCACGTTCGCCCATGCTGTGACCCACGTATGTGTCACAAGGTAGCTCGCATAGGCCACAAGGCCCAAGGGTGGTGGATGACTGACACCATGGTACTCGTACAGTACATTTTGAGCCATTTTTAATCCATAAGTCATAGACATGATTTTGGCGAACGGTCATACGGTGCCATAGAGCATCCGTTTGGTGTTCGATTGACACCAAATTTAGCGAGCATTTATATTTCATATGGATAGACTTAACTCTAGAATTGCATGCCCAAATTCCTTCCGGAACCTCGACTTTCAAAGTTTAGGCTCGGGACCCTACCCGGCCCTTCAACAAGTTTGTCTTTGTCACTCTTGTTTTGTCTTCATATGCCCACTCTGTGTGGTGTGTTAGATGATGCACCGTCCTTCTCGGTCGCATCATGGCACTCGTCTATACCTCGTGTGGCCGGATGGGGGCCACTTGAGGGTCGCTGCTTCTCAGTCGTAAAGTGAGGGTCACAACCTACTTTCTTTATAGTTAGGTTGTGATACTGAACCCTAAAAGAGGTGAATTGTGAGATCCCATGTCGAATGGGGAGGAGAACGAAACATCCTTTGTAAGTGTGTGAAAACATTTTCGTAGTAGAAGCGTTTTGAAAACCTTAAGAGAAATCCAAAAGGAAAAATCAAAGAGGACAATATCCGCTAGTGGTGGATTTGAAGAGTGAATCCAACACGAAATCTCTTGCGAGTTCTTTTATCATTGGCATTTGTTGTAACATCACAAACAAAAATAGAAACACAAAATCACTTTGTCTTCTCCAAACTAAACAACGACACCATTGAAGCTTGTGCGAGTCTCCTGCACGCGCTTTACATTATTTAGTATTGTTACTTTGACCATAAAACCGACCCTCCACACACAACAATATAAATATCTATTTTGATACACTTGCATGCATTACTTTGTATGAATAAATATGTTTTATGTATACTAAGAATCACGCGCTTTAGTTGAGTCTTCTGCAATTGGTCCTGATTTCTCCTGTGCTCCCAGTCAAAGGCCCGAGATTTCCCATGTTAATCATTGACTGAGCGAAGGCGGTGAAGAATTGGCTCTGGCTGCTGGCGAAGCTGTTGACAATACTGATAGTTGGAGCTCCGCTGGTGGAGAACAGAACTTGATCACTTTCCAGAAGCCCGCGATTGCTCTGAAGATTTGTGAAGTAGTTGCTGTCGAAGGTGTCCGGTGTGGTTGGGTCCAGATTCACGAATGTGTCTCGCCCTGGTTGACAGTTTTGACGCAGCTCGTCCGCGTATGTTGAGTTCAGGGTCGGGTCCGGGTTTGAAGTGTTTAGCCGTCTGTCGAAAAATCGGCATCTCGATCGCCCAAATGTGTGTGCACCTGCGCATGCATGTACCAGAATTTTTTATGTCGTGTGTCTATTTAATCTTTAAAACATTTAAGGTTGGAAGGTTGAGGATGGTTGGAACGAAGTCCTACGTTGACTAATTTAGGAAATGATCATAGGTTAAAAAATATTATCTCCATTCATACGAGGCCTTTGGAAAAACTAAAAAATGGACAATATCATACCACAGTAGAGAGTGTAGTTCACAACATGGAATAAGTAAATGGTTTGAAATGATTACCTGATAGAGCAACGAGATCGGTAGTATCGTCAAGTTGAACGTCCCTGAACTTTCTTCTAAGGACTGAGAGATCGTCAAAAGGACTTGGAAGCTCCATGGCACCATCCAAATTTGCTGTTCTTCCATCTCTTCTTCCTAATTGAACCTCCCAACCCGGGCCTCCTGCCTGCAAAATGCGACGTATAAATATACATACATGGCTTAGCTTGTGTTAATTAATTAATGTAGTTTAAAATTGTGATGCACATAGTATTGGCATTGTAATATAGTTAATATTGAAGTAGGTACCAAGTTGACGGAGTGTCGAGAAGCAAGGGCTAGTATATCAGCACAAGAGACGACACCCGGACAAACATTCTCGATTGCAGCTTTGATGTCATTAACAATATTGAAACCTGTGATGCCAGCGTTTCCGTTTGCACCCAGCTCGCTCACTATGCCATCTTGATCCTCTAATAGCACCGACGCATCACATCCCTACAAATACAATTATTGCATTTTAGAGTATTAGATAGATTCAACTCTTTAACGTATTCATCTAACGTAAGCTCTTGAGTCCATTAGTGATTTAACGACGTCGAAAAAGAAATGAAAGAAACCGAGAGTCGAGCAAGTTACATCGACGAAGCAGTCGTGGAAGTGGAGACGGATGAGTTTGGCACCAGCCCTGTCGTCACTTCGGAGTGCTTGCTCCACAACACCACGCACAATGCTTGATACATTGGGACATGTGGTATCGTAGAATGTGGAGCTCAGTTGTGCGCTCACAGACCCAACCATCAAACACACAACAAATAACAAAGGCATGGAAGCTTTAAAAGATGCCATTACAATAGACAAAGTAGGAGAGTTTGAGGCCTCAAGTTAGAACAATTAGGTTGAGCCCTTAGCTGTCCTATAGAGTTGTGAGGGAGTATAAACAGAGCCACATCCTTTTATAGACATGAAGAAGGTGGTGAGAAGGTAGTGGAGGCTGAGGTTATTACGTGCCACAGGACAATCAAACGTTGAAAATAAGCCACCCTTTTACTCTTCTTAACCATCTATCTCCATAAGAAATTTCAGATTTGGATTTCCCTTTGAATTTTCTTCCCACTCTGAGACACAGCCCAGGAACGATTCAATATTGGAGATTCTAAGTTTTCTTAATAATTAGAAGCAAAATTCTTTCTTGCTTCATCATAATCTCTTCCTTTATTTTGTTTGTTTGACTTCTTTGTTTGGCATTTAATAAAGCTTTGCTTGTTGGCGAGCTTAACTATAGAATGAAATAGACATTTTATTGGTTAATGTATCATTGATGGTTGAAAAACTGAAAACTTGTGTGTCTGAATGATTTGATTTTAGGGAGATTCTTATGTTATATTAAATGCTTCATTAAAGTTTAATGGTTGATTATTAAGATGCAGATTTACAATGGACGCAAGGGGTAAGGTATTCCACTCTAATTTTACTAATTCTGCCTAATTAAACTTACAAACAAAAAGTCTCTGGGGCTGTAACATCAAATCAGCAATGCCAGCTCAATCTACTTTGGAATTTTGTCCGAGTCAAATCATAAGAATAAAAATCATTAGATGTCTCTCTCTCTCTCTCTCTCTATTGAGTTTGTAAAGGGATATCTTTTTTTTCTGCATTAACAATACTTAGCCTTCATCAAGTTTGTTCCGATGTTTATTTCACGATTTTAAGACGAGGAATGTTTCGTTTTCTTCTCCAACCGATGTGGGATCTCACAATCTACTTCTCTTGGGGGCCCAACGTCCTCGTTGCCACACTGTTCAAACCTTGGCTCTAATACCATTTGTAATAGTCTAAGCCCACCGCTAATCGATGTTGTCTACTATGACCTATTGCGTATTCCCATCAACCTCACGGTTTTAGAGCGCATCTACTAGGGAGGGTCCCTCTCCAACCGATGTAAGATTTCACATTTGTTAAAGTAGATTGCAAAATGATGGATGGTTGATGGTTGAAAGGAAGGTAGAAGAGTGAGTAGTCAGAGGTGGAGGCTGGATGGAGTGGTTCATGTTCTTCCATGGCTCTAAACAAAGAGTCCCTTACAGTTTAGTCATACTCTCATAACCGCTAATTTGGACTACGAAATTGAAGTATCTTTCCAGTTTACATCAATAAGTTTTTATAGAATTGTAATCCACGTGATTGGTGGGCTAAACAGATAAATGTATGGGACCCCACTTCCTTCTATTATTGCTTTCTACATTTTTCTTCTTCCTCTCTCAATGCAGAATTAGGTTGAAGATACCCACAGAATATCCAAATATTAACCCGAATATGACCCGCGGTCAAAATACGTCCAAACAAGTAAAATATTTACATTCTTTTACATTCTTATTACGGTTGGTCCATAAGTGAGTAATTCACTCTAATAACGCTACCAACAATTCTCCTAAAACTAAGTCTACTAGAGTCAGTCAAGTTTAATAGCTGACACTAATAACCTTAATTAGATGAAATAATTGAATTAGAAAAAAAAATCATGTGGGTAATGTAAGGTAACGTAGAAAGACACTTGTATTGAACATTTATGGAAGAAAATTATAGAGCAATAATAATCCCATCTTTTTTTAGGATGACAATTAATAAGACCACCACAAACTGGATATTCATATGTATATGCTCAGAAGCTGCGTAATGAAGGGCTTTCATTTCAGTTGAGTCTTCTGCAGTTGCACCTAACTTCTCCCTGGTCACCAGTTAAAGGGCTGATATTTCCCATGTTGATCATGGACTGCCCGAAGCTGTCGAAGAACTGCTGCTCGCTGCCGGCGAACATGTTGACGATGTCCACGGTGTCCTCGCCGGGAGTGGAGAACAGGACCTGGTCGCTGCCGAGAAGGCCGAAGTTGGACTGAAGGTTGGTGTAGTAGTTGTTGTCGAAGTCGTCGGGAGTGGTGGGGTCGAGGTTCAAGAACGTGTCTCTGCTGCTAGCGCAAGCTTGACGGAGCTGGGTTGCATATGAGGCGTCCAGGGTGTTGTCTGGGCTCGAAACGTTCAAACGTCTGTCGAAGAATCGGCATCTCGAACGCCCGAATGTGTGGGCCCCTACCACGTCAAATATCCACACAAACATTATTTCTTTAAATTGTTATTATTACTACGGTCATCATCATTCCCCAAGTAACATCCTTCACTGTGGCCGACATGAGAAACAAGATATGGTATATATCATTGTCGCATCTCATTTTATAAGGTGAAAACAGAAGCAAATAATTAATAATAATTCAAGCAAATACGCAGTATAGGATACAATTCAATCTAGGTGATTTCAATTTCTTTGTTTGAGAATGGGTGGAATATAAAACACACGAGTCACTTTCAATTGGAAAAAAGTAAGAATAAAATATCAGAAAAAGGAAGGAAAAGACGTGAAAATATCCGTAGTTGACGTAATGATTTTGAAAAACACTACACCACAATCCCCAGCGCATGTTGAGAGAGCAATCAAATGCAGCCATGCACGTCGCTCCAACGGCGTCTTGTCTTCGAATATTTAAATGTAAATTGCATATATAAATGGTATAACTGGTGAAGAGAACTTTAATGCGATGTTTATTTAGTTGAAAACGTCTAATAATATACTTAATTACCAGATAGAGCAACAAGATCAGTAGAATCAAGACCCACTCTGCCGAACTTTTCTTTAAGTTCTTGAACATTTTCGAAGGGACTTGGAAGCCCGTTGATTGCGCCTTGTAAGTTGGCCCTTCGCCTGTCTCTTCTTCCCAGTTGAACCTCCCAAAAGGGACCTCCCACCTGAACCATATGAGATCTCACATCTCGAGTTAAAATGAAACATTCTTTATTTATAAAAAAAAAAAAAAAAAAGTGAAAGGAGAGAAAAGATCCAAGAATGTCTTAATTCATATGTCTCAATCTGTTATTAAAATATTACATGCTTTGTTGATATTTATTTGTTTTTTTTTTTTTGTAAAAATTGTTACCTATATTATAGCAATTTAATAAAGATAAGATTTTAGTATAATTACCAAAGAAACCGCATGTACGGAAGCTAAGGCTAAGATGTCGGCACAAGAAACAACACCCGGACAAGCCTCCTCGAGGGCAGCTTTGATGTCATCAACAATGTTAAATCCTGTAATATTTGCATTTCCAGGAGCGCCAAGCTCACTCACTACTCCCGTTTGGTTCACTAGTAAAACTGATCCATCACACCCCTGAAAATTGTAACCAACCAACCTTCTAAATAAATCTTTCTAGTTCAATATCAATCTTTGTGGAAAAAGGAAGAAGATAGTGAACTAAAATGAAATTACATCAACGAAACAGTCATGGAAGTGAAGGCGAATGAGTCTGGCACCCGCTCGGTCGTCGGTCTCCAAAGCCTGCTGCACTACACCGCGCACAATGTCTGATACGTCGGGGCATGAGTCGTCATAGAACGTCGGGCACAGCTGAGCTTTAGAAGCTCCGACCATGAACCCCACAAACAAAAGGAAAGCAACTTTGAAGGAAACCATTCTTTTTCTCTGGGGATCTAAGCAGCTTTGATGGTTTTGGTGAGGGATTGTGCATAAAGCACGTGCCTTTTATAGATCAAAAAAGGTCCCCTTTTTTTTTTTTTTTTAGGAAGATTATGAATATGACAAGGTGGTGGTGGTGGCTAAATGACCGGCGAGAGTTTACGTGGTAGGGGCAATGAGGTCGTGAGGAAAGAGAATATTGGGGGTTTTACTTTTCAAATTTGAAGGCATACTCCAGAGCCAAGCTCTCTATCATGCAAATAATAGGACACAATACAATAATGGTGTAGTTAACAAATCGGACTTGAAGATGGCTGGACATCCAATTACATTTTAGACAAATTTGAATAATCTTTTCTGTCTTTTTCTTATATTTTATGGCCTCCTTTTTTTAAAATACGTATTTATTTATCTCAGTGCTTTTATTTGTTTGGCATAAATATTTATTTCATGTCTAACTTTTCACTCATAAATTTTTAATTATTTATTTGACAAAAACTTAACTACTCCGTTGATAAATTTTATTAATTATTTAACAAAAGGATAGAAAATGTTTTAGAATCAACCAACCCAATACTTTATGTAGGTTCAAATATTTTTCCACCCCAAGCATCTATTTGTGTTAGGGTAAATGAAACACAAAACATATTTATAATTTATTAAAATACTTGGCAATAAGACAATAAATATTTTGAATACAATTCAAGCACCATAATAAAATGTTTATGAATTTAGAGAAATTGATGTTTATGATTGACGGGGGGGTCCCATTGCACAAAAAAGTCAAGAAATTATGATTGATTACTTTTCATGTTTAGGGTTTAATAATCAGATATATTTACTAAGTGAGGTTTTTGTTGCAATTAGCAATTTGAATATAATTTTTCATTACGTGTCTAAATCAACAAGGCCATGCCTATAACTATGATTGACGTGGCATTTGCATGTTTTTATAAAAGTAGCTACAATTTTAATTTGTTCCACTCCCTTAATTATATTTTAATTTTGGTCGTTGAGTATTAAACCTTTAAAATTCCAATACATCAAATTGATATTATTATATTTTAATTTTGGGTGAGGTAAGGTTCTTGGAAGGCGGTTTTCGGGTTAGGGTCAGATTAGGAGGTACCTCAATCAGCTGCTTCTTGGATTTATAAAATAATTGTTCTTTTTTTGTTTCTTTCTAGTACACAAAGCTGATTAAGGATAAGGATCTGCAAATTCTCTTGGCTTGTAATTAATTGGATGTTTTTTTTTTCACAAAAAATGAAGAAAAATAAATAAATTAAAACAAAGAATAAAATATCTTTTATATCTAAATTGGATCCCATGTGATTGGTGGGATCAGATTGCACTTTCATAACGATCCATCAAATCCC